GTTGCTCTATTCATGTGGCTAGCTGCTAACAGCTTCTTGTTTGTCCCTATCATGTAGGCTAAATCAGCAGTTTTCTGTTTGGACATGTTTGCCCGATGGACAGAAATAGGATGCTGGGATGTGCCCTATGGTGGGATCTGATTTTTTCCAACCTCGAGTTGGAGTATCTTGTAATGATATGTTCAAATGAAATTTCCATAAATTTGAAAGTTTTGCTTGCTAGAGTGGAGAAGTACACAATTTTATAGATGTTTGAAGGTGTTTTCACGTGTGTAAAATGTAAAGATTGAGATTTTGATATTCATTTTCACCTATTGAAAGATTTCGATATCCAAGCTCTTCATGTCATGGTCTGACACATGCAGTCAGTATTCAATCACAAAAGCTATCGATAACACAGCTTCTGGATTCTGGCAATTGTGAATCTTAGACTGGTAAACGATGCAGTTTTCATCTTTGAACAGATCTCCATAGTAATTTAATTAAGAAAGGATTATCTGTGTGTTCGTATTAATCCTCATTCATCCAGCGTAAACAGTTTCATTTAGTTCCTCAACCTTTCATCTGCAGAAGACACGACTTAGGCAAGCAATGCCTGGAAGCACGTGGAAATATCAATGGAATTTGAGGAAACTTCAAACAGTCATGAAACACAGCTGCAACCATTTTCTCTAGCAGATGAAAAATTGTTAGCTTCGGCTGCTGCAGCCAAAAAATTTACACATTTAAAACACGCCACCAACTAGACTCTGTAAATAATACCCTCTTCAAAAACCTTTAAGGTACAAAAGTGTACCCACACACCTTGACCTCTACAAAGGGGACAACATGAATATGAGGTACTAATAAATTGGTTCTATCACAAAATATGAAGATATTAAACAAGATACTGAAAATAGCATTATTTGGCAAATTACATTACAATCTGTAATCGGTTCTTTTATGTCATAAGCATGCATATATGGAGATATGCATGCAATAGGAATAAGACTGTCAGCTGTAGTCTTCTGGCTGTACCAAAGGTTACATGATACAGAACATGGAAGGACACGGCTAAAACAATTAGGGAATGAGTTTCTTTTAACTAACCAAACTATAAACTGATGTCCAAAGAAATAATGTGAAAGAATAGGTTATAGGTATAGGTGATAAAGGTGACAGCAGATGAATAAAACGATGAAGCAGGAGTATACTCAGTGCTTCCTGAATCAGGCCCCCACTGTTATGATGAAGTAAATTCATGATAATTCTCCAATCAAGGCTTCAATCAATCAGTTTGGTGTGATCTGGAAATGAAATCATGATTCAATATGAATGAATGGATTTATTTTCCTGTCTTGGCACGTTTCATTCCTGCACTGTTAAAGGGAGACATGCTCGGACTAATACTAGGGCTCATACTCGGACTTTCTTCCCTTAGAGTACCATTCAGCATAGCCAATTCCCTCAGTTGTTGTTTCTTATACTGATCCAATGATTCATCCTGCAAATAATAGATTTGGTAGAGAATTTTATCAAGTTCAAAGAAAATGGACATGTAAAACCAAACCATCTACATGATTTTAGTTCGTACCACAGGCTTCAAAAGGTTTTCTAGTATAGCCACTGCTTGATCTAGGCGGGCATTTATTATATCCTCTGGAAATTCAGCCTCTACTAACACATGCAGGGGCTCATTAAGGTGTTCATATCCTGGTTTATCCTTTAGTTTCTCTTCCTACAGAAGAAGTTGCAATCCATAGTGAGAGTTGATGAAGTATGATTGTTCACAAGCAAAACACTTTTGTCAAAAAGAGTGACTTGAAGAGAAAAAACCAAAAAATAATATAGTAACCAGGTACTTCATGTCCATCAAATTATCAATTAAAAAAAAAACTAACATAACTAAGGGGGGAAAAATGAAAATATTTGTTGAACAGAAGGACGAATTCTTGCTAAAATTTTATTTTTCCTTTTATGAAACTTAGAAGGAAATCTCCTATTTAAAGGTTTAAATTAACAAGACTTCTTTTAATGTATCACCAAATTGGTGTACTTGTATACTGTGATCTATTTTGGCATTCAGCTATAATAAACTGTAGCTAATCAAAGCTACATGCTGAAAACAAAGAATTTATGACTGATTGTACCTTTACAGAATCCTTTACCGAACCCTTGCCCCTTATGTACACCCTACACTCTGTCATAGCTTCAACTCTTTTCAAAGAGTTTCCTCGTGGTCCCAGAATTCGGCCAACAAAATTATACTGCCCAGCTCTTACATTAGGAAAAATTACTTTAAAATGAGTCAAAACACACTCGAGAATAAGAGAACTTACAGTCGGATACTTATCCACAGGAACATCAAGCCTAACAACTCTCTTTACAATAGGTGTTTTAGGAACTCCCGGCACACCAGGCCAGCCCATTGCAGCAGCTTGAATTGGGGCCATTTGCTGCAGATGCCCATTTTCCTGAAGCAAAAGGATGATATAATAGGATCGCTCTTTTTATTTTTTAACACTTAACATCAACAGAAAACAAAAACTCATTAACCCTTGAAAAGGAAAAGAATTTATTTTATAAATAAAGATTTCATATCTAAATAATGAACAGATGAACAAAATATACCAAAAAGATAGTAAACAAAGAATTACAATAATCCCTCCTAAAAGCCAAAGGAGAACTTCATATTGCTTCTTATCCAACCATAGAATACACAAGATTGCCAGGCTAAATGTGTCCCATAAATAGGGCATCCAGGATTCTTGAATACCTACACACCCAGGGCTGGACAAGATCTTTCTCTATTATAGGGTTAAGACAGATTGTAAAGTAAGAAAAGAATTGTGATGGCAACCTGCACTTTGATCCCAAGAAGGTTGTCAAGTGTGGAAAAGGACACCTTTGTAGTCAACTATCTCATCTAAGGTTCCACATACTGGCAAACACTCAAAGTCATAGGTTCAAAACTGAAGCCAATAGATTATCAGCAGCCAACTCTAGACAGGACAACAATAGTTTACGATGCTTTAGCCGAATGACCTTTCTCTTCTTCATTCCATAACGAAAATATGTAGAAGAGGTGTTGAAAGAAACAATTTTGTCTCAAGTTCTTGTCAGTAGTAAAAAGGAATGAATAGGGGGCAGACATCATGCTTATCAAATAAAAGTTATGTGAAATTAGTTTGCCTGGTTTCTGTACTTCTGAGAAGATATTCAACAAAAAATGATTTTCTTTAAGTTGATGTAACACCCACTACTAGCTATTGTTGATTAAGTAGTAGTCTTTATTTGACCTTGATGGTACTCCAATAACAGCAGTTCATGTTCATGATTGACCACAATGGTGGCATATTGAAGATTTATGGCATTACAATTAAAAATTTTATATTCACTGCCTTGGTAAAATTTCAATGTATTACAAGATAAACTCCAGGGTATGCATAGAAAAAATAGCCATTACCTCAGTTTGCATCACAGACCATCCATCCAAATCCATTTGTCTCCCATTGGGGGGTTGAGCTAATGACCTAAAAGGACTCTCATGGTCAAATCTTTCGTGTTCAAAAAAACTCTGATTAAAACCTGAGACTCGTTTGATTTCTGCAGTCAGATGAGAGGGAAAGAAAGGAAGTAGTTGAGTTAGTAAAAAGTTCCATACACCAGTAAGTCAGGTCCATGCATCAAATAGTCCTAACAAGACTGACTTTTTCAAAGAGCACAGAACTATAGTTTGGATCCACTTATATAATAAGACTTTGATCAGTTTTCCTATGTTCTATGAACACAGCAAAAGTTAGACAAGTTACCAAAAGACATTCATAGTTTCTGACATTTATATGCCACACAATTGTTGATTCAACGAATAATCTAGAGAATGAGTCAAATAACACAGAAAATGGTAAACTGAAAATCTAAGAACCTTGATTTAGAAGCCTGGTGCAAAATGGCAGAACTTGCATAAAGGGGCCCAACTTCTGTTTTTCTGCCAACAACTCAGCCAAATATCTGCAATCGTATCCCAGTAAATTTGTGTGTCATAACCCAGATTCCATAAATAAAATTTAAAAGAAAAAAATGTTGAAAATTTAGTTTTCACGGTAAGATCAACAATGAAAATAACATTAACAATTTAGTTTACATTAATCTGCAAACACGCACACACATCTACATCATATATTGCCTGACAAATAAACAAATATCTTTTCATTTTCAATGACAATTCCAATACCAATAGGTACTTGCTCCTCTAAAGTGTACGAAAAGCCATGCCAAAGACATAAGAATAAGAATTATGAAAATAACGAAAAGAAAAGCCTAGTACTGTATGGAAGTAAAGACTCTAGCAGATTTAAAAACCAGAAACCCAAATCTCTGAAAACAAACAAATCTGAAGAATCCAACCATTGATTCTTCCAACAATTAGACAAAAACCCACCAAGATTAAAACACCATGTAAAAAACAAATAGATTTCGATCAAGCATCATGTTTGATCAATCAAATTGAGTAAAAAACAGACCTTTCACGATCTGTGGGGATAGGAGAAGGCCTATGAGGAGAAGCACGTACTCCAGGAAGAGGGTACTGGAAGTAACTCCCAGGTGGGATTCTCTCTCCCATCTCACACACTGAACTGCATCAAATACCAGTCAAAACTCTAGAAAGTCAAATACACAGAAACTTACACAAAATCAGAGAAACGTAAAGAGAGAGAAGAAGACGTACTGAGGAAAGGAGAAAGCAGGGAGAGAAGGAGTGACACAGGGAGTGTAGAGCGGAGCAGAGATGCAAAAGTCTGCTGCCCTCCTCCTATTTGGGCAAAAGCTTTGTGCTTTAAAGCCCTACTACTTCTAGAGGACACTTGGATTCTTCGGTTTGCTGTATTTATACCCTTCTGAATTTACTGCTCTTACTTTTCTGTAAACCTGTAATATTTTCAGTTGAATGAAAAAAAAAATCATCTTTTTATTCTCAATATGATGCTAACAATAACATGATAAATATCAATTTGAATTGTCAATATCTATTCTCTTTAACCATGAAAAATTATCCTTTTCTTTGAATAAAAAGGCTTTTTGTTTCTTTCTGTACATAAAAAATTTGTCTACTAGCACCTACACAAGATATATGAATAGAATATCATGATAAATTAATACTCTTTGGGTAAAATATAAAATCACAACTTTTTAAGCTAGTTAATAGTATCTTAGGTAAATTTGTGCATAACATAGTAAATCTTCTTCTATAAGCATTATAGTACTAATGTCAATCTTCTTCTAAAAGCATGATAATTGTTGATACATAAGTTAAAAAAAAAAAACTAATGTCATAAAATTATCTTCTCATAACATTCCAAAGAAACATTAAACTTTAGTTAATATAGGTAACTAGTTATAACGACCAAAAATCAAATATCAATTAACAACACGTAGAAATAAATTCTATTACCATCTAAGTTTAACTCGTTAAATTATTTTAACTTAATATAATTGTATTTCTATTTAAGAAATCTTTGACCCATACGTCTATATATATTATGTAGATCTCTATTTAAAGTAGGCGTCATAATTTTTTAATATTGTTTGCCCCTAAATAATAAGATGATATGTCAAATTAATTGAAATTGACACTCAAATGAGAATAAGAGTTACCACTTAAGCTAACCCCATAGATTGGTTAATGAATTTAAATAATTATTAAGGGGTAATATTTTTAAAAACTTATTTTAATTTATAAAATTAGAGATAAAATTAACTTGCATAAGTGTAAGTTTTATACAAATTATCTCAACCATTAGATGGTAGAATCAAATTTATGTAAGTAAAATTATCATAAATCATAAAGAGATGGAATCAATTTACAAATTGTGTAAGCAAATCTTTGTTTCATAAAATTATCTACTATTATTTTATATAATAATATTATTATTCACTGTATATAAGAAAGAAATCCACTCAAATTATAACATTTCTATAAAATTTCAGTGTCATTTACAAAGATGTCTTAACAGCTAGTCTAATATTCTGGCTGTCATATTTCATATTAAAAATCTTGAGACTGACAATGGTATAAGAAAAGGAAAGAGATCCTTTTATTTTTTTGTATATATGGTAATTCAGTAATTGGGCTCTAAAAGGAAAGTTACAATTTATTACTTCAAAAATTATTAGGATTATGGGATGGTTGCATTTGGTCATGATTTAGCAATGTACAATATTTTTGTATAACTTTCATATATTATTAAATAAATATACATATATAATATTATGAATTATAATAAAATGAAAATATTTTTATTAAATAATATGTTAAACCATGAGCAAAATTATGCTAAATAATTTCTTCTTGTTTTTTAATTATGATAGAAAAATAATTTGGCATTTTTCATAAGCTTGTTGCATTCTATATTTAAATTTCAAAGTAATTAAAAAAATAAAAATGATATAATTATAATATTATATAAATATTTTAAATTTATAACATAATATATTATTATATAATTAATTACTTTTACCAAAAAAAACTATTTACAATATTATATATACTTATTCATTTAATTACAAATTATATTTATTTAATTATATTACATCTATAACATGTCACATAAATTTATATTCTTATGTGACATACATATAACATTATCTATAAGATAAAAAAATATATCTTTCTCAGTTTTATTTCATTTATGCACCTTATAACTCTTGAATGAGCAAGAATACCAAAAATAAAAAATAAAAATTCTAAAGGCTAGAGTTTGTATGTGTTTCGGTGCAGGATGATTTAAAAAATGTTTCCTATAAAAAATAATTTAAATGTTAAACTATATTTTTTTCCTCTTAATCCAAGTTGCAGCCACTCCTTTAAAAAAAAAAAAAAAAAAACGAAGGATGCGCAATGCGCACAACGAATCCAAGGAATATATTCTCTTCTCTTTTTTTCTTTTTTTAAATATTTATAGGAAGACTTTTTTTAAATCAACATTTATATGAAAACTTTTTTGGTTTTTCTAAGTGCATCACCGCTTAATTAAAATAATATATGTG